GAATTTTTTATATTGCTTTAAAAGGTTCACATTATTGTGTCCCAACTTATAGGATTACACGTGTAGTGGTGTATTCTAGTAAAGTCGTGATTATGATGTTAACAAGAAGAATTTCTAGAAGGCATTCCAAATATTATACAGTAAGGAATAGGAGCATCCAAGAATAGAGGAAGAAGGGAAAAATCAGAATTTCAGCGTCACATGTATCTGGAGGTCTGCAGCAAACTACACTGACATCTATGTGTTCTTCAGATCTTCTGGAGGCTGCTTCATTCTATTATTTTTTCCTTTAATGAGAAAAATAGTTCATCTGGTAATTTGTAACCCATGAAAAGTCATGGTGCTGGACCTAACCGTCCATCTTCCTGGTTGTCAGATACTTCCTTGAGCTCAAAGTCTGGTCCTATCTCACATAACTACAAAGCAGTGTTTCTTTTCAATGTCAGGAGTTGTAGCTGAACATGGCTCATCCAGGTGACACTGAGACATCAGTGTCTTACAATTCAGAAATGTACAGATTAAAGGAATTCTGTACATTTTGATGCTAAAGCTACCATTGTCATGAAAACCAAGATTTTCTGCAATTACTTTTACCAGTGACTGTCTTTACCATCTCTGTGCTTACCATATATGTTTCTTGGAGCTCAGTTTCCTATTTAAGCCAGTATTTTTTAACCAAAAATAACATATTCCACTTATTTTCCTTATCACATTCTATGCTTGTCTATAAATTGAAGAGGGAAGTTAAGTGTGAATCCAATCAAGGTTATCTTTTACTATGTATAAGGCTTAAATTTGAAAACCTTTCATCCATCAATGCTTAAGGGAATGATATACTAGAATTCAGTGTACTGGATTACATATTCTCTTTGTCTCAACCTAAACAATTCCACCTACTCCTAAATTGTCAACAGAAGTTGATTTCCATGAAAGTTGATTTTAACGGAAAAGTGAATTTTTATTATCCATTAACTGATCGTGTTAACCACATAAGACAGCACAATCAGAAGGGGTTTTCATGGAGGTATTTGTTAAGTGCTCTGGCGACCTGAGTGGGTGATGACATTGCATCGTGTCCCCATCTATGTCCTAGGGTGTCCAGTTTCCTGTGGATGTTGATCAAGATACTTTGTACAGAAACATAAAAAGCATTTTACAAGACTTGGAGAAAAGACCTCATAGTAGACTCATTCTCACAGGGATCTGGCATATTTTTAGTTCAATCTCAAGCCTCTGTTTCAGTAATCACAGCTCTGTGATAGCTATTTACAGCCCACACATTGCCAGATACTACTGTTTCAGATTATAGCTTTGCATTTGCTTCTTTTGAATTTAAATAATTTGTGGACCTTACCCAAGCATCTGACTGAGTGACATTGTGTCTTATGACTGACAAGGAAAAGAATCAAACAAAATCATGGTACTTTCCATGAATACTATATTAAATCAATAATTGGAAATGTAAGCTTGCTCCAGTCAACAAAATAATTCATTTTCCTTAATTAAGTGACATCTAAAAACTGGCCTTATCCTTTCTCATCTGTATCATTCACATATTTACTTACTGTGGCTTCCCCAATGCCTAGCACCATACATGGTAACTATTTATGAATAAATTATATGTATGGAAGAAATATCTGCAGATTTGCAAGCACATTTTGTATGCAGTTGTAATCTAACTGAAGTTTCTTGTTTTCTGATTCTTCCTGGAAGCTTTAGTTTTCCCTGGCAGTTACAAACCCAGAGTTCCTGGTACTTGTGCCTACGGTGTCAGCGAGCCCACGAGTGAGTGTGGTGTCATCACGCCTCCTAAATGTGAAACCGTCCTTCCAGGGCAATAGGGCCATCACAGGGCTGTCCTCAGCAGGTTTTTGTTTGGTTTCCTGATGCCCCAACTTCCTTTCATAGCTACATGGACCATGAAGTCCCTGGAGTCAGAGTGTCTGAATCAAGAACTTTTTACTTGATTTATGCTAAAATAGGATCACTTTTATCTTCACTCACTACAAATCTTGTATGGTTACTGCTGTCTTAAACTGTCTCCCTGTGACTTTTTTAGAGTTGCAGACTTTTAAGTTTTATTTATCTCTCCCTTTTATTTGCTTGTTTTGATAATGCATTTAATTAAATGCCATTTTCTGGACAAGAGTCAGTATATGTAATGATAAAGCATTGACACCATTGAGGATTTTATGTGTTAAAAAAAGAAAGAATCCACTGTCACTGCTCTTATTTAGCATTGGTCTGGAAGTTTTGGCCAAAATAATAAGAGATGAAAAGTAACAAGACAGATATTTAAAGATAGGTAGATAAAATGTCATTATTTGTAAGTGGTAGACTTACTTACTTTGGTCTACCAGTTAGGAAACAAAATCAACCCAAAAAAAGAGAAAAGTAAGTTCAGTATTAAGCAGTGGTTCTCAAAATATGGTCCCAAGATCCTTCCAAAGGTTTGAAAGGTCAAAGCTGTTTTCTTAATCACATGTAGATATTTATGTTTTTTCTACTTAGTTTTATGAGTGCATAGTGAAGTTTTCTGGTGATTTAGTGATGTGTTTTCCCCACAAATTGAATGCAGAAGCATATGTTAAGATAAAGCTCTTTTCTAGTGAGCCAGATAAACTTTTATATGAATTAATAAAAAGTTTTAAATATTAAAATTTTGAACATATAGTATTGATTCAAATATAAGAACTCTGTGAGTGATTTCATCAGTAAATTTTGAGATAGTTTTCAGATAAAAATTTGAAGACTGATGCAAAAGACAAGCAATATATATATATTTACATATTTGTGTATTTAATAGTAATAAGCATAAGTGGAAAAAAGTAATCAAATAATAAACATGGAATATATAATACCATTCTGTATTATAGGATATTAGCATATTGAGATTCTTCATTAAATTTCTTGGTGGTAAGTTAAATTATAATCAAAAAATTTCCTTTCTTTTAATTAACATAGATTTAATGTATTTTCAGTATATCAGTATTTGAAATATTTAGCATATTTCGTGGAAATATGATAAGTTTATGGAAATGAAAATTTTTGAGAATTTTAACTAAATGAGTATAAAGTTTATTCAAGAATAAGAGAATAGTAACTGTAAAGAACATGTTTTTAAAGAACAGTGGAAATCTGTCCACTGTTATTAAAGTTTATAAGAGGAAGTCAGATCTCAAAACTGTCATTATTGTGTGCTGTGCATATATGTAGATGTGTGTGTATCTATGTGCATTTTATCATAGGATAAAGGAAGCACTAGTGTCCAGTATTATAGTAAAATCTATATAAATGAATGCATTTCTAATCAGTTCTGTAATGATAAGATGTGATTGATATCAGAGGCATTGCTAAGCATTCATAATGTGTTAGGAAGCAATTGTAAATGGAAAACCTTCTTGGATAAATTTTTGCTGTCATGAATCACTCAACTGCTTTAAAATATTCCTATTCTTTAATATAGCAAGTTTATTTCTAGCAATGTCTCTTGAGGAAATGACCAGAAATGAGAAAACATTTGTATACAAATCTATCTGCAGCAGTGTGCTTTATTTATAATAAGACAAGTTTTACAACAACATATGTATCTATATCTTGGTCCATAATTAAATGAATATCACATGACAGAAAAACAGCATATGGTACATGTTTTTTGGGGATGGAAGTGTTGAGAGAGGGTCCTGCTACGTAGATCAGTCTGGCCTTGAACTCATTGTGTAGCTTAGACTGGCCTCAAACTCACAGTGATCCTCCTGCTTCAGCCTCCCAGCTCTGGGAATACAGGCCAGCATCATTATACCCATTCTGGAATATTATTAAGCAAGAGGACGAGGCAACATTTCACATAATTGAACAACACAACAGTAGAGATTACAGTATTCATCAACCCAACTATGTAAACATATATCAAACTAGTAGGACTCTACATCTTAGTACATTAATAGTAATTATCTCTGGATTCTGGAATTATGGATAATTTTATTATTTCTTCAATACCTTTCTGTATTTTCATCTAAGGAACATGCATCACTATAAAAAAAGCAACCCGATTCAATGAACTTTATGAACAACTATCTTTATACATTAAGAGCAGTCAGACAGCTGTTGTAAGATGAGCTTTGAATGAAATTTGAAATGCCATTTCAGCTCTTGGCTACCTGCTCTTTCCTGTCCACTGGTCATTTCTGGGGCTGACTCTCCATCTTCAGAGTGCACTTACTTACTGCCTGTTTGCTAGCAAGCCATGTAGCTTTTCCGGATCTTTAGATTCCTTACCTATCAAAGGGTACCCTTTCCAAGTTAGAGACCTGGAATTAAGGGCTGAGGAGCTCTAAAGCTTGCCTTTCCGACACAGATTTCATCTTTTGTCTGTAATGTTTCTCTCCCACTGTACCTTTCTTTCTAAGATACTCTTTCCATTTGTCCTTCTGCATCTTCTCCTTTACCTTCTAAGGTCTGCAGGTTGGAGGAGGGACGAGAAGGACACTTTGCTGTCCATCCCTTAGTGCCGCTCCAGGCAGCGTCCAGTCCTCGTGGTGCCTGTGAAACTCTGCTCGTGGTTGTAGACACTCTAAGAAACTGCAGAAATTTAAGGACTTGGTTTAGCTGATGAAGTGTCGTATACTGTTTATGAAAATGTTAATTTGCAATCAGATATTTTAACCAGTAACTGGTCTGCAGTGCTTACTAGAAAATATTGTTACATGTAGTTGTTAATTCAAATGTCTCTAGATATATTAATGCATGATGTACGTGCACATGGGTATAGCACTGAAAACTTATGCAGATCATTTACTCCATATCAAATGTAAATGTTATTCAACTGCTATTGAAATCTACAATATAAAGTTTTAATCCCTGTATACATTTTAACCTGAAAGGCAAAACCTTAGCACTGATTCTCTTTGTCTGATTTGTCATTGCTGGGTGGGGACTGATGGTGTTCTGTGCCTCTGTGTGATGGATGTGTACTGATAAATCTCTTTTTAAACTTACAGCAAATAGTGGCAGCAATAAATGCAGGGATTATACCCTTAGGAAACACCTCCAATCAAATCAGTCACTGGGATTTGGGAAGCTCCTTCTTCTTTGCTGGCACTGTTATTACAACCATAGGTAGGAGACGACTTATTTCATGTTTCATTTTGGTACAGTGTGCGACTGAGAATTCTTTGGTTTGAAAATTTTTATTCACTTGTTCAAATGGTCGCCTGAAAATAGAAAACCAGATGATAATAAATTGGTCTTGAAAATAAAGGTTGAAAGATTTGATCAGAGGAGTCACAGAAATGCACTAGCTATGATTTCCAAAGACTGAATAAGTTTGAAAAATATATGAAGGCCTGTGTAGCATGGAAGTTGCTTACAGATGCCCAGCGACATCAGGACTGGTCATACTTTGCAATTTGCAGATTTTAACTCTATATTCATCAGGCTGTGTGTGTTGTTATATGGCTGTGTATTGTGTTGATTTCAAAGTTTGTTTTTATATATTTTACCTAGAGCAAAACATATAAAAAGTTAATACAGAAATATTACAGTTACGGAAAGCACAGCAGTTCAGGTCTTTGATGTTTTGCGTAATCACATTGTGTTAAAATCACATTATGTTAAAAGGGTCACATCATAGAACATGGCCTCAATTTTGGCCCTGGTAATGCACAAAGTTCAGAACCTCATAGTAGTGGACAGGAAGTGTGTCGATGTCCACTATGGTGTCCAGGCACTGCCCAGAGGTTGTAATACACACCTCGTATTCTCTGAGGTGTGGGAAAACTTACAGCTTTCCTGTTCATGGAAGGAAATGAATTATAAGAAAAAGAAATAATTTTTTATGAATGAATTTCAGGTAGAATAAAGTAGCAGTGCAGTGGGAATTTTTCCTTCCACATACGCTGGCAATGAGATTTTGGAACTGATCTCTGTTTATGGGATGAGTTAAGATTCTGAAAGGTTCAATTTTATTCTTTAATGCCATCAGCAAATTACAAAGAAGGTAAAAGTTTCAAATCTGTTTTATTTTCAAGTCCCCAGTGAGAGACAATGGAATATTTATGGATGAGCTCTTGCTTACGGATTTGTATTGTCCTGTAATTATAGGAATGCACTGTAGCATCTCTGCACTGCATCTCTTGTCAGCAAAATGAGTACCTTAGCCGACTGGATTTTACCTCTGTTACGAGGTCAAGAAACTGTTTACTCGTACATTTCCATCAGCTAGGTCAAATGTTGTATGGCTGTGAAAATCTGGAAGAAGGGAAACCTTGATTTCTAACCATAATAGCAGGTTACGTTTAAGGCTTAGACATGTTGGCCATTTCTACCCTGGAAATAGCTATTTATTGTGTAAACTACTTAGAATTTGCAAAGAAAGAAAACCTCACAGACCGATTTGAGAATGGCTTGCTGCTTCCCAGTGAAAAGTCAGAGGGCCAGGTTGTAACTCTTTGTGACTGCCTCTAAATTATTTTGCAAGAGACTCAGTCATTACAGACTTACTGTTGCATCTTATGTTTATAAACAGTCTCTTTTTTAAATCCCCCAATTCAGTATCTTTTATAGACATGTACTTCAATGCATTAAAAAAATAAACAATTATTACCAGCTTCACCCCAAATTATAGCCATTAAGCACTGTAGCTGATTATTTAGGTTATTTAGGTAGCTGCCCACAGCTCCTGCTGTCTCGTCTCAGTATTTAGGCTTAGGCAACGTATGTTATTCTGTCCCACCTACACGGGGACCTTTTACTTCATGGGCTTTTTACCCCTAGGTCAAGGTCATCTTCTTTGACCTTGGACTAGATTATAAATGAGGACAGGGTGAAAATTTTGGCTTTTTTCTGAAATGTGCATTTGACATCCATATTATGACTTCATATGATTTAAGGTATCATTATTAATATTGATTAATATTAATTAATATTGATGATGATACTAATGATGAGCTTTGAAATGTATACAGTATTAGCAATCACAGAAATGGGAACATGTAGTACCAGCTTCATTGTGTCTGTCACTTAACAAATACAGTGAGACAGTTTCATAAAATATAGTGTTGTGGCTTGTGTAGAGTGCTTTCTTATACATAGTAGATCATGGGCTGACTGGTCAAGATTATCCAAGGTTTTCTCTTCCAACCATCCAATCAGTTTATCTAAGAATCATGCAATCACACAGTCACAACTTTTACTATTCACTGGAAAGATTCCCAAGGATGTTTAGTTGTATGAGTTAGCATATTAGAATTCCACACATAATCTTAGATGATCACTTTGTAGACTGAGATGTGATTTGTAAAATTGTGTCCTTCCAAACTTTCTGCTACTTCTGTTCCACAGTCACCTGGGGTTAAATGCATCTCTGATCTCCTGTCCTGCGTGCTCTGAGTACCTCAGCCGGTCTTGCTGGCTCAGCTTTGGAAGTCGGGCCATTGGGTCACTGCTGTGCCCCCTCAATTTGTCACCATGTCAGCCCAAGCCAGGTTCAGCTTATGTCAGTGTCATTCAGTGTCATTCAGTGTCATACAGAAGCTCAGAACACTTCTGCAGTTCCCAACTCAGTCATCAAAAGCCACCTTCCCTGGCCTGTCTCCCTAGTGAGAGGCGAATTCTACAAGGTTAGGTTAGGGTTATTTATTTGAGTTTTTTGTGTGTGTGGCCTCTATGTCTGACATTTAGCAAACACTGAGTAATTAAGTTTCAAATTAAAAGCAAGTAAACATTCTAAGTGGCATGAGCTCTAGAATATTGAATATTAATTAACACTAAATTGATATTGGTGATACTAACTCCTTAACTCATTAAACAGGTTTCTTATTAGCTTATTTGCTAATCTATTTATTTAACAAATAACTAAAACAAATATTTTTCTGCTGCTATAAAGATTAAAGACAAATACCTTGACCTTTAATTGCGCATGGGGTTACCAGCAGACAGACTCATGGGGTAGAGTGCTGGGTGCCGTGCGCAGTTAGTGGGCATGGATGGGACAGTACTTCACACAGGTGATGAGGAAGGAGCAGGGGCACTCCAGCCCTTAGTTATTGTTGTTTTGGACTGGAAAGGGATTAATGATCTACTCCTTGAAAGGATGTGGCATCTGTAGGCATCTAGAGCTCACGTGGAGAAGGTGAAAGGTTAGACACAGTATTGACAGTTGTGTGGAACTGTCATAGTTGACAGGATTTACCTTCTGGAAGATGTATATCAGCATCAGTCTAAATAACTTCTGTTGGATCCTTACTGCTTCTGCCTCCTCTTGGAGAAGAGGGATGTAAGGACACAATCCCTGATTGCAGTCTCGTATGGGAGATGAAGTTTTCATGCATGGCTGGACGTGGTAGTGCATGCTTAAAGTCACAGCCACTGCACTTGGGAGGCCAATGCAGGATGACCACAAGTTTGAGGCCAGCAAGTTAGTTAGATCCTGTTGTAAAATAATAAAAAGGGATAGGGATATAGCTCAGCACTCCTGCGTTCAAGTCCTAGTGCTATGCATGGGTGTGTACACACACATACACACACACACACACAGACACACACACATACATACACACACACACAAACAGCTTATGCATATGAACTAACTGGAGAACAGCAAGAAGTCTTGTCCAGCCTGATGTTACACAGAGCAATGCTTTAAGTGCTGTGCGATCTGGGAAAGAGGGAGAGCACCTGAGAGCAGGGCTTGCAGGGGAGGCTACAGCGAAGTTGGATTTGAGCTGCGCCCTGAAGAGCACACTTTGTTCAAGCTGGTGCAGGGGCACTGCCATGCAGTCTGGGGCGTGACTCGGTGACAATCATAAGTGGGTAATGAGCTCAATTTATTTTGGGGATAGAAAAGCATTTGAGTAAATCACAAGGTTTGTTTAAAGGCGTAGTGGGAAATATTATTGACTTAGATTTAGATGTGAAAGCACGGTTGAATATAATTTGGTCTTTGAGGATTTTGTATCTACTATAATAAAACAGAACATGATTTTTTTGGATGGGTGGGAGAGGTGAAATGGGAAATCAGCTATGTGACATTAAAAAATGTGCTTTTCAGGAGGAAGATAAGCAGGAACCAAGAGAGGGCCAGCAGGGAATCACTGCTGTGATCTGGCAGGCCCAGGAGGAGTCCAAAGCATTAGCTGGGGTGATGGGAATTGTTATGGAAGACAGAGTAAGACAGGAAGCGGAAGGAATGAGATGCTGGAACCCCGCAGTCTTGGTGACTAAGAGAATGAAGAGAGGGGAGTGAAAATGTTGAACATGAAATGAATATTTCAGCAAAACACTTGTAAGTCACAGAGAGTGCCAGTCGAGCCAGTTAAAAAGCAGCCAAGATTTTACATGGTATGTTGTTTTAGGAAGCTCCATAATAGATTTTTGGTCTTTCCGTTTTTACTTGTTTATTCTTTAAATCAGCCTGCCTAGGAACGCAAGGCGGTTATGTCCCATCCTTGAGTTTGTGTTAGGGTCCAAAAAACCAGTGACCCATCAGGACAGGAATAAACCAAGCACAAGTGATGGCAGGAAATACCAGCACAGAAACTCCTGTGCAGTGACTGAGAGAAACCAGGGCAGGGAGTGGGAGGTGTTCTGAAGAGGCTGAGGCAAGAACTCTCTGAGGACGTGACATTTCATCTGAAACCTGAAGGATGACAAGAAATCAGCTTAGGAAGGAAAAGTGGAAAGACAAGTTCAGTGAGAGGGCACAGCAAGGGGGCAGATACTGCCTGGGTAGGAGGGCGGGTGCCTTGAGAATTCAGATGAGGGGTGGAGACAGGGTTTAGTGAAGAAGTGAGCTTGGCAGGAGATGCTGGTGCCCTTGGTACTCAGTTGGTCAAGCATGGTAATACCCTAAATTCAGTGGGAAGCCAGCGTGGGGTCTAAGAGACAAGAGCAGTGGTGGGCCCCGGAGTGCAAAAGCAGAATCAGGAAGACCAAGAACCAGTATGTGGGACTCATGGGTTTGAGTCCCCGGTGCACTGTGTCAAGAGGTGGACCAGGTCATGAGGGCCCTGCCATTTTTTGTAGGTAATGCCGTTGTTGGGAAAGTGGGTATAAGTGCAGGTGCAAAGGAGGGGATTCTGGGGTTCTGGATAGGAGAAGGAGCTGGCTGTTATCCTTTC